GTACATGGTGAGAGAGAGAGAGAGAGAGAGAGAGAGAGAGAGATCTTCTCCCTCTTCTTCTTCTTCTTCTTCTTCTTCTTCTTCTTCTTCTTCTTCCTCTTCTTCTTCTTCTTCTTCTTCTTCTTCTTCTTCTTCTTCTTCTTCGTCTTCTTCTTCTTCTTCTTCTTCTTCTTCTCCTTCTTTGCGCAGGCCCGCGGTGCACGATTGCAGGTCGTCGCCACCGCTGCGCTGCCATCGCCCAGCGCGCGGTCGTCGGTGGGCACCATCGCCGCGCGACCTTTTTCCGCGCTCGCCGATTTTAGCGCTCGGCCGCGGCCGATCGCGGCTGATCGCGGCCGATCGAGGCCGATTGAGGTCGATTGCGGCCGATCGCGGCCGAACTCGGCCGCTCGCTGCTGGGTGCTCGACCGGCCTGTGGGGCCCGACGATGGCTAGGTCCAGCCAGGCCGAGGAGAGCTGCAACATCTGGGCCCGTGGAGGCTGCAACGGCATCGGGGCCATTCATCGACAGAGCGCCGGGAAGGACGACATCGACGGACGACACGACAACTGTGACGCTTTGAGTCAGGGGACGATGACGGGGGGTGCGGGGACCAACGGTACGGGGGGGTCTGCTGGTGGGGGGTTCATCGCGCAGTTTGAGAGGGAGATAGCGAAGTTGAGGCAGGGGAACGTGGTGTGGAACTTCGTCACCGCGGGACATCATGTGGGGAACCAGGCGAAGATGCATGGGGACCGAAAGTTGCGTTGCAACTTTTGCGGCCACTTGTTTCAGGGGAATGCGGGGAAGGCTGCGCGCCATTTCACGCAGTCCAAGTACTGCAAGGCTGCGAGAATGAGAGTTCTCGCGGAAATATGTAACGACACGAACTACACATTCAAGCCCGCGACTGCTCGGCGGGTGCAGAGGTGGATGGCTGACAAGGGCGTACGGGACACGAGAGCGGTTGCGGGTGGGCAGCAACAGCGGATGGACGAGGGAGAGTCTGGAGAGAGGGACGATGTTCAGGACGCCCTTGATGATGAGGAGGGTCTCGAGGGTGGGGTTGGGGAGGGGGGGAAGGCTGACGAGGCAGTCGGAGACCCTGACCTGCCAGGGGAGGAGGTGGTGATGACGTCTATAGGCGTCGGTCGAGTTGGTCGCGCTCCTGGGGCACCACGACCTTAGTTGGAGCGTGCGAGGAGGGAGAAGAGGCCGGTGGGGGAGGGCGACATCGAGGTGCGAGAGACGACCAGGGAGAAGAGGGCTCGGCAAACGATCGATGATATGTAAGACAAGGAGAAGTTGGCCGAGTTCCATGACGCGTGGCTGCAGTGGATCTACGCGAAGGGGTTGGCAATCAACGCCTTCAGAGGTCCGGAGTTCCAGAGGGTTCGGCGGGCAGCAGAGAGAGTACCGCGGACAGTTCAGTTCCGGTTTCCCTCGTACAGGGTCACAGCGGGCACCGAGATCCCTTTGCAGAGGGGGAAGGTGGCGTCGATGGTGAGTGAGGTGCGCTCTGCTTTCTGGCACACCGGTGCCACCATCCTCTCGGACGGGAGGAAGTCGCGCAGCGGCAAGCCGCTCGTGAACTTCCTCGCCGGGGGCACCAACGGCGCCCTGCTGTACGCCACCGTCGCACGTGACGGGTCTGTCCGCGACACTGCGGATATCGTGTACCACAGGTGGCGGGCCATCATCTTGTCCTTTCCTGCAAAGGACGTGATCGGCTTCTGCACGGACTCCACCAGTAACTATACGGCGGCGGCCCGCAGATTCGCTACCGACCTTGACGCAGACATCAAGAGGATCACTTGGCTTCCCTGCTCCACCCACGTCTGCAACTTGATGTTGTTAGACGTCGGGACGCGAGTGGCGTGGGTCAAGGAGACCATCGTCCGTGACCGAGCGTTAGTGCGATTTATTTAATCGCACGGCGCTGCGTTCGCCCTTTTCAGGAGGATGAGTCCTCGTGTCATGCTGGTTGCGCCCGTTGAGACCCGGTTTGCATCAGTTTTCCTGATGCTGACGTGTCTCAAAGGCCGGCGGGATGCGTTAGAGAGCATGCTGCACGGCGACGCGTGGGCTCGCATCCTGTGGGAGCGCAGGCTTGTCTCCCAGGCATAGTTGGTTCAGCAGCAGATCCGCGACGACGAGTTCTGGCGATGCTTTGACTGTGCCATCCGTATTATGTTGCCCATCCACCAGCTCTTGAGGAGGATGGATAGAGGGGGGATGATGATGTCCATCGTTTACGAGTGGAGTCAGCATCTTCTGGAGTTGATGAGGAGGGTGGAAGTGTCGGCGGATATGGTCGAGCCGTGCATGCGCGAGGTTGCCGTCCGCAACCTCCACATGCTAGAGCCCGCACATGCTGCGGCACACCTCCTCAACCCTCACCGCCGGTCCCTCCAATATTATGAGTCGTTGCAGACGACTACCGACGACGCCCATGTGGTCGAGGAGTGCGACAGATTCCTGCTCGCACAGACTAACGACAATCCGGTCGGCAGATTGTACAGGACAGTCCGTGACCAGATCAGGCGTTTCCACTCATGGCGGGGAGATTGGGGAGATCGGCAGTTGTCCGATGCCGAGGCCGACGACTGTCGGGGGGACCGCGAGACTGAGCGTTGTGCCCAGTGGTGGTTTGATCACGGATGTCATCACCCTGAGTTGCGCACCATCGCCATCCGTGTGATGCACTTGTGGACGTCCGCCTCTCCTACGGAAATGAACTGCAGTGGGCACAGCATGAGCGCATTAACACGGCGAGGCGCCACAAGCTTGGCTTTGCCAAGCTTGCACAACTGGTTGAGATTACCACCAATTTCAAACTGGTCGGATGCGCACATCAGGGTAGTGGCTACGTGTTGCCCTGGGTTATGGGGACCGGTCTGGAGGAGACCGCGGGAGGGCAGGAGGACGACGAAGGGGATGTGGACCCCGAGGTGTGGGGAGCGCGACCTGATGGCTGTTTCAGCGAGCACGACATCGAGCGCCAGGTCGTCGCTTTCCATGCTTGTCGACCGTCCAGAGCCGACCCGATTCAGGACGTGTTCGGCAAGAGGGCGGTGGAGCTACGGCCGTGGCCGGAGCCGATGTCGGACGCTGATGCGGACAGCGACACGTCAGACGATGAGTGGACGGACGATGACGACGCTCCTGTCAGCGGCGACGCGACGGCAGAGCGGATCTATTTCACGTACGGCGGAAGACCTGACGGCATGACTCCACACACATCCGTCATTATTGCCGATGTGTCGTCCGGTGGTTAGGCCAGTGGCACCGGCAGAGCCGGCGGTCGTCATCGACGACGACCGCGTGCCGATGAGCACGTAGAGGAGCAGGAGCCAGTCGGAGGCTTCGGCAAACGGGCAGACGTTGGGAGGTCAGGAGCAACAACGAGCCGGAGGGGGCGGAGTAGGAGGAGGAGGTGCGCCTTCGGGATCGTCGGTTCTCTCCCTCTCATCATCGGACCACGGGAGCGCCCGAGCCTACTAGGCCGAGGACGAGGTCGGCATCGACAGCGGAGAGACAGCAGACACCAGCGACCGAGCACCATGAGGGGACCGGGCTTGCGGACATTTCGGAGATGGAGAGGACTCCATCCGGTGCCGGTGTCCGCCACCGCTCGCCGTCTGGGCTGCCCACCGACGACTTCTACGTCGGCGGCTCTGGCGGGGATTTGGGGGATCTCAGTGCCCCGAGACAGAGGGGTGCCTCGCTGTTGGACGTGCTCCTCGACGATTCTGATGTACGGGGCCATGTAGAGACTAAGGAGGAGCGGGATGACCGACTGGACAGAGAGGAGGAGGAGCGGCTGCGGACTTTGCCGAGATGGGATGGTCGTTTCAGGTATATGGAGGAGCAGCGCCGACAGAGGGAGTTGGAGACAGGGGGGGTGGAGGCGGTGACGGAGGTGACGTGGGTTTTGGTGGGGAGGTTGATGCCGGGGGGGCCCGACAGGGTCTGCCCACGGGTGTTAAGGGAGATGGTGTACCCACGGGTGTTGAGGGAGAAGGTGGCGGCAAGGACGAGGAGGGAGATGGCGGCGGCGAGGACGATCACGAGGACGAGGAGGGGCCCGACCACGGAGACGACCACGGCGACGACGGCGGCGACGGCGGTGACCACAGCGACGGTGGCGACAACGGCCACGACGGCAACTACGACGGCGACCACGGCGACGACAGCGACGGCCACAGCGACGACGACGACCACGACGGCGACCACGACGATGAGGGTAGGCTGGCTTTGGTCTTGAGGGACCCGTCAGTGCCTACACTACCTCTCATACGGCCCGAGGCCTTCGCTCAGGCTGGTTTTGATGTCGAGGATTTGGCGCGACCCGGTTCACATGACCCTTTCCCCCACACGGGCCGCAGGAGCGACGAGAGGCGCCCTCCTGGAGGGGCGTATTCGCCTCCGCCGCACATCGTGGACAGCCCTAGATGGTCAGGTTCTTCGATTAGCGGCATTAGAGGGAGGGAGTCCGGGCCGGTTGATGGCGGGTCGGGCCGCCGCAGTGACGGTGGCGGATCTGCTGGATCGATGCCTCCGCCACCCGCATGGAGCACGGAGGGCGGCGCCGATGCGACTACCGCCCGTGTGCCCATTGCCGGTTCCCCGCCGCCTGTCGCAGGTGGTGTTGCCGGTGGATGGGCAGCTTATCGCAGGGTCTCGGACCGGATGAGGGCGGATTACGATGTCGGGAGGGGCGCCTTCGTAGGACGTTTGTCACCTCGGTTTCAGGTTGCGGCCAGCAGCGAGGGTGGCTCCGGATGTCCGAGTGTTCACATGGCAGGCCGCATGCTCGGTTTGTCTCGATGAGCGACAAGGAGAGTTTTGATCCCACCGCCGATTCCGGTCCGAGGGACAGCTGCGAACATGCAGCAGGGTCGGCACTACACATCTCGCGAGGAGGGGTTGCTGATGCGGAGTGGGAGTAGACGACAGAGCGCCGTCACGGAGGTTGAGGCTCGACTCGCAGCAGAGCTCGCCGCCTGCCAGGCTGCATTGGAGGCGATTCAGAGGCAGCGACAGACGATTGCTGCAGCGGAAGACAAGGACGAGGACGCGGACACAGAGTCCGAGCCGATCGACATTGCAGTCCGCAGACATAGAGCGGCCGTGTCCGCGACAGCTGCGGGAGCACAGGCGGCATACATCAGCGGTGTGCAGGGCACAAGTGGTGGAGGGGGCCTGAGAGGAGCGTGTGGTCAACAGTCCACCAAGAGAGGCCGCGGGCGTCCTTCCGGAGGCAGAGGATCTGGACCTTCCGCAGGAAGAGGGAGGCGTTATTGCCTTTTTTTATTTTTTTTTATTTTTTTTTATTTTTTTTTACATGACGTCGTTTTCACATGGTAGGTTCATATTCATGTGGATGTTGTTGCTCGATTTTGTATCATAGTTTTGTACATGACGCTGTTTTCATATGGTAGTTTCCACAAGGACGAATGGTACGATCGCCTTAGTTTTTTTTGTGAGGCACCGTGTGTCACGGTGTCGGGCGCATCGGTTCAGCACCGCACAGGGCAGCGAGGGACCCTCTCGGCCGCGTCACGCAGGAGTTGGACCAACCTCGTCACGAACGCGCAAATGAAGCTTCCTTAGGCC